TCTATCTATCCATCTGTCTACCCATCCATCCGTCCACCCATCCGTCTGTCTCTCTGTCCTTCTATCCACCCATCTATCCTATCTGTCTGTCTGTCTATCTATCCATCTGTCCATCCATCCACCCATCAGTCCATTCACCCATCCATTTGTCTGTCTGTCCATCCATCCATCTGCCCATCTGCCTATCCATCTATCTATCTCTCTATTTGTCTGTCTGTCTATTAATCAACCACACAATAAGAGGGACACAGAATTAGTTGGATGACAACACCCAAATAATAGCCATTGATGAAATAGATGTTACTGGGAGAGGTTTGTCTCCAGTGGAGTATCTCAGTGGTCTGGCCCTGGCCCCATTCTATTTAGCATATATATGTATATATATATGTATATATTTTTTAATTTGCATGATCTTCAAGCAGAGGCCGGACAAGTACTTTTTGAGGATATTGTGGAAGGGATCCCTATTCAGGAATAGGTTGGGTTAAATAATCCCTGAATCTCCTTCCCACTCAGAGGTTCCAGATTCTCTGGTTTAGGAGGTAGGCAGGTCGCAGCCCTCATCTCCACCCACTCAATTGTCAGTACATTCTTCCTAGACAGATCTTGTATTTACTTTCTTTGTGCAAGTTGTTTCCCCTCCAAGTAGAACAGAAACTCTCTGAGGGCAGGGACTGCTTTCACTTTTGTCTTTGTATCTCCACTGCCCAACACAGAGCCTGGCATACAGTTTTACCCAGGGTCACATAGCTAATATGAGTCTTCCTGACTTCAGGCCTGGCACTCTACCTGTCACCTAGCTGCCCCTGCATACTTGGCATACAGTTGGCATTTAGTAAATGTTTACTGGATTGAATTAAATTGAATGATATAACTTACTATTAGGAGCTAAAGCAGTTAAGCCTTAGTCTTGCCAACATTAGCTGATTCTAACCATATCACCTCCCCCTCCATAGTCAATAATTGGCTCCCTATTACCTCCAGGATCAAATATGAAAGCCTCGATTTGGCTTCTAAAAACCCCATTGTGGCCTGGCCCCTCCCTACTTTTCTAGTCTTCTTGTACTTTACTCTCCCCACACCCCTTACCCAACCCCTCATGTACTTTTCTATCCTCTGACACTGACTTCCTTGCTATTCCTAGAACAAGACACTCCATATCCCAGGTCTTGAGTGTTTCACTGGTTGTGTCTATTCCTGCAACATTCTCTTTCCTCCTTTCTGTCTCCTAGCATTTTTCAAGTCTCAGTTAAAATCCCACCAGTCTTCCTTAATCTTAGCACTTTCCCTTTGATACTACCTGTTTATAGCTTATATATATATATATACCTGTTTATAGCTTATATATATATATATACCTGTTTATAGCTTTTATATATATATATATATATATATATATATATATATATACATACACACATATATTTATATATATACACACCAGATTTCAACTCAGGTCCTCCTGACTTCAGGGGCAGTGCTGTATCCACTGCGCCACCTAGCTGCCCCCTTGTTTGTATATTTGTACATCATTGCATGTATGTTATCTGTCCCATTAGATTGTGAGCTTCAGAGATTATGGGTTTGGGTTTTTTGGGTTTTTTTGCCGTTTTTTTGTATGCCCAGTGCTTAGAATGGTGCCTGGCACATAGTAGACAATTAATAAATACTAGTTGACTGATTCTGTGATTTTTTTTTTTATTCTCAGATTTTTTGTTGTTGTTTAGTCACTTTTCAGTTGTGTCTGATTCTTCATGACCCCATCTTCTGGGGTTTTCTTGGCAAAGATATTGGAGTAGTTTGCCACTTCCTTCTCCAGCTCATTTTACAGATGAGGAAACTGAGGCAAATAGAGTTAAGTGACTTGCCCAGGGTCACACAGCTAGTATGTATCTGAGGCTGGATTTGATATTAGGTCTTCCTGACTCTAGGACTGGCGTTTTACCCACTGTCCCACCTACCTGCCCCTTTCTCAGATTCTATTTTCTATGAATCTAAGGTCTGAAAATTCTGTGATCTAGCATTCTATGATTCTCCACACACAGGAGCCCTAATCTTCCTCTGGGTTGTGCTGTTCCCCCTGCTCCCCAAGGTGAAGATTTCATTCCCAGGGGCTTCCCTGATTTCCAGCTCCTGATTCCATCAGGTCCCCTTCTCTCGCTCTGCCCAGGGCCATCCATCTGATTCACGATCAGCAGCTGGAGAAGGGAGGGAAGGAGGTAGGGCCAGGGCAGGCAGCAGATAATGAAAACATAGCCAGCCAAGTCAGCACTCAGGCGAAGCTGAGGAACAATTCCACCCACATCAATATTTATTGTAGGAGAGAGATGGAAGCAGAGCTCCGTGTTCTCTACGGCCATTCTGGGGTTTTCAGACTGTTAACAGGATAGAGCCAGGAACTGGGAAAGCCTGGCAGCAAAGAAACTACATTGTTCAAAGACTCTTTGACTCAGAGTTTTAGATATGCTGAGTCACAGCGTTTGAGAAACATTGCCCTAGAAACTTAGAGTCATATGACGTAGAGTAACAACAACAGCAATGCTTAGCACGCCGGCTGGAGGTGGGATCAGTCTTGGTGTTCTCAAGTTTACTGAGGGCTCTAACAACAACCCAGTATGGTAGGGGGTGCCAGTATTACTATACCCATTTTACTGAGGTCCGGAGAGAGTAAGTGACTTGTCTGAGGTCACACAGCCATCAAATGTTGCTAGAAACAAGGACCGGAACCTGGTTTGGGGACTCCTAAGTCAGGAAGACTCATTTTCTTGAATTCAAATAAAGCCTCAGATACTCACTAACTGTGTGACCCTGGGCAAGTCACTTAACTCTGTTCGCCTCAATTTCCTCATCTATAAAATGAGCTGGAGAAGGAAATGGCAAACCACTCCAGTATGTTTGCCGAGAAAACTCCAAATGGGGTCACAAAGAGTCGGACACAGCTGAAACGACCAAACAACAACAACAACAAAAGACCAGTATTAAAAGAGCAAAGCTAGTAGGGATGCTGGAGATCACCTCCTCCAATCCCCCATTTTACAGATGAGGAAACTGAAGCCCAGAGTAGGCTAAGTCATGCGCAAGGTCACATGACTAGTCTGAGAGAGCTAGCACTTAACCCCAGGTCTCTGAATCTCCAGGCCGGTGCTCTTTCTGCTGTTCCTCAGCTCCATAATGTACTTGGGTATTAAATGTGGAGTCTTCGGTCCAGACTCCACATCAGACACGTAAACTGTGTGTGACCCCGGGCAAATCACTTCACTTTTCTTTGCCCCAGTTTCATCATCGGTTAAATGGGAGGCAGTTGAACTCAATGGTCTCTACAATCTCTTCTAGCTATAAACCTGATCTTCACTGAGAAGCACTGAACAAGGGACATAGCTGGGGTGGGATGGAGAAGGCCAAGTTAGCTTGCTGTTGATTGCATTAGAATGCGAGTAGAACACTTGTCCGTCCCCTCGGTCCTCTCTACCATTATACCATCAAGCTTTTTAGTTGGTCAGCGGTGAGCCTGGGATTGTGAGATGTGCAAATGAATCTGGGAGGTCTCTGAACCCAGGAAGAGAAGCAGGTTCAGGGCCCTCCAGTGGGAGTCTGAAGATCCTACTGGAAGTTTAGAATATATACTAGAAAAGGGCAAGAGCTCCACGGCCAGCTCCAAGGAGCTGGAGCCCCAGGAATTTGACATGATTTACTGAGGGCTAACTCTGCCCCTGAAGTATAATGGATCCCAGGCTGGACTTGTCCCAGAGGGACACACCGACCACTCAATTGCTGGGTTCAGGGCTGTGCCAACACATCAAAGAACTAGAAAAATGGGAATTGAATGTTATTCTTTTTTTTTTTAATTTTTCTCCTCCAATCTCTTGTGCGTTAGGCCAGAAGGAGGGCGATCTAAATTAGGAGCTATCTGAGGGATTATCCCAAGACCAATACCCTCCCTTAAGCCTACCCCACCCTCAGGGGCCCTCTCCCCGCTGTCTAGAAATCGAGACACACAGAAGAAGGATATGTTGGATCTGACTTGTCTCCCGCCCCTCAAATCAAGTTCTTCCTTCACAAAAATAGCTCCTCTCCCTTCTTCCTATTTCCTATTTCTCATTACTTGTGGCAATCTCTATAAGATGTCTTGGATTTATCTGTTTCCTCTTCACTCACCCTGGTTCAAGCCCTCTTGTGCAGACCATTGCAATTCTCTGGCTCTGCAATTACTAGTCTCCCTTTCTCCAGTCTTTTCCTTTTGTGATCATGGGCAGGACACTTACCCTCTCTGGTCTTCAGTCCCACCCCAACCCCACATAAAATAAGGGCAAGGGGTTTTCAGTGGCATCAAACTGAAATGGAAATGGATTCTGCATACTGACATAGAAAACCACAAACTAATGTTAACTATTTTGCATTGTATTTATATATTTGTTGTCAGATACTTTTCAATTCCATTTTAATCTGGTTCAGGCATACTTCAGAGCATTGAGGCATGGGCCAGGAGTTGGACAGCTCTGATCTAGATGATCTCAAAGGTCCCCATAAGTTCTAATCTCATAACCATACGATCCCTCTGCAATTTGTCAGGGACCTGTGACATCTGACACAGGCCTAAAAGGATAGGAAAGGGCTCTGAATGTTAGAACTTAGAGTCTTCATTAAACATAACCCTGCCCCCATCTCCAAATAACATTATGCCACGTATACCAAAAGTCCAACAGAAGTAAGTGAGACCCCAGGGAAATAGAATTAATTAGAAGTGGGAGGTGGTGAAGAGCAGGCACTGAGTTTTGTCTGCTACAGCCCTCCGTTTTCCTTCCCCTCCCTTCACAGCCAGAGTTTCATGAACAACAAAAATGACTTTTTTTTTCTTTTAGCTTTGTTCAAGATCAAGATGTCTCTAGTGAAGTGCCACAGAGCTCCATCCTTGACTCTGCACTTGGCCTTGAAGGAGGACCTTACACACGAGAGCAGAAGAGATGGAGGGGGGTAGCGTCCCTAGCACCAGGGGCCCTTACTTTGTCATCCAGCGAAGGTAAGATCTGCTTCTGGAAACCAAGCTCCTGCTTCTCCTTTGGCATCTCCCGGGGAAAGAAGAAATAAGGGAGGGCAGTCAAAGTCACAGCACCAGCAGAGACCAAGAATCCCAGCCACCAGGCACCAACCCAGCGTGGGTCTTTTGGAGTCAGGGAGATGCCTCCTGGAAAAGAAACCAGAGTCAACTGAGTACATGGGGATGCTGTGGTGAAGGGAGAGGGGATCTATTTGGAGCCAGAGGACCTGGATTTGAAGCCTCATTCTCATTTACATAAATCATGTGTGAGTCATTCATTCCCTTTCACTGGACCTGACTTTTCTCCTCTGAAAATAATGAGGTTGGACTAAACAAATCCACTCTCTTCCTACTCTGGATGCTCTAATCCCATGAATACCTCCCTGCTTTCAATGCCACTTTCGATGTTCCCTCTTAGAGACCTTGGAGCTGACTGTGTAACCTTGGGCAAATCCTCTCATATTAGGGCTCAGTTTCCTTTTCTTTAAATGAGGGATGACCACCTTTCCTGCTTCATAGTGGGGAGTGGGGGTTGGGGTGTGGCCAATGAGAATATGGATGGAAAATTTGTGTGGAAAGAGCGCTAGATCAACAACCAGGAGACTTAGGTTAAAAGGCTAACTTCACTCTTACTAGCTCCATATCCTCAGACAAATTGCTTCCCCCTGGGCCTGTGTTGCTTCATTTTTAAATAACAGGGCTGGACTATGAGCTTTCACGTCACTTCCCACTCCAGCTTTCCACGTGCTAAGATCTTTGGGGCTGCCATCTTGGCTCTGCCATCAACTTATCCGTGTGACCTTGGACAAATCACTTAACCTCTCTATGCCTCAGTTTCCTCATCTGTATACTGAGGGGTTTGGCTTAGATGTCTCTTCTAGCTTTAAATCTATGATTGTATGATGTTCTATGTTCCAAGTATCCTGCCAGCTGTGGCATTCTGTGCTCTAGGCTCCCTATCCAGCTCTGATATTCTCTGTTCTAAGGTCCTTCTCAGCTCTGAAAAATCTAAAGCGTTATATAAATGCTAATTGCAGCTATTTATTATTATTATTTCTAATAGTTCCTGTCACCTCAGACCTTCTATATTCTAAAGCCTATTATTGTTTTTGTTCAGTCGTGTCTGACTCTTCGTGACCCCATTTTCTTGGGTTTTCTCAGCAGAGATACTGAAGTGATCTGCCATTTCCTTCTCTAGTTCATTTTACAGATGAGGAAATTGAGGTAAATAAGGTTATAGTGACTTGTCCAGGGTCACACTGCTAATAAATGTCTGAGGCCAGATTTGAACTCAGGTCTGCCTGACTCCAGGCCCTGTGCTCTATCCATTGCTCCACCTAACTGCCCAAAAATGTCTATTAGAAGAGCCTATGTTCTATTATGGAAAGGGAAAAGAAAAATGGAGAGACAGGAGTGATAAATGAAAATCACTGTGGCACTGTGTACTACAGAAGACCTGGCTGGGGTTGGGGGGAGGGGAGGGTCCTGTCTGATGATTTCCAGAAGCACATAACAACCGGCTTGAAGATGGTATATAGAAGTGAGAGGAGCCTCTGGCTATCCAGGCACCATCTACCAGAGCTCTATGCTAAAAGCAGACCAACTGATAAATTCTTGATTTGCCTCAATTATAATTTCTTCCCTCATAAGGAAGACGGAGCAGTGAGAGGAAGTGCTATTCTTATCCTGAGCCTGACCAGCAAGGAGGAAGTGGCTGCTGGGTTAGAAATTGGGGGAACCCTGGGAGACAGTGACCACTCATCCAGGAGACAGCTAAGAGGGAGAATTGTGGCATACCCTGACACATAGCCCCAAGCTTTTGAGAGCAGACTTTAGTGTTTAGAGAAAAGACAGGTAGGCTCAGAACCCCTGGTTTAATGACTTACAGGGGAAGTTGGTCTCTGAAGGATGGAAACTTCTCAAAGGTAAAATTTAAAAGGTGTAAGCATAAATTATATTAATGAAGAAGAGGGGGAGGTACCCTAAGATGTGAATGCATAGAAAACTGATGGAGAGACATTGGTGTGGTGCCTGGCTTTGGAGTCAGAGGACCTGGAATGGAATCCTTGCTCTGCTCCTTACTGGCTGTGTGACCTTGGGCAAGTAATTTGAGTTCTCTGAGCAGTCGTCTCCTCATTTATAAAAGATGAGGGGGTTGGAATTGATAATCACTAAAGTTCCTCCCAGCTCCAAATCCCATGACCCACTTAGATTTTTAAAAGTCATTCAGAGAGGATGTAAGTAAATAAGAAACCCAAGGATGAATAGAAAAGGGCAGAGTTCTAGAAGAATCAGGCTAGGAATGTAAGCATCCAGAAGGATCCCGGGCTTGGGATGAGGGCCAACAACAACAAAAAGAACTATTAAAACGATTCTGGAGGCAATAAACCTCTAGGGGAACATCACAGGGCTCTGTCCTTGGCTCTGTTCTGTTCAGCATTTTTATCAACAACTTGGATGAATGCAGAGATGGCATTGGAACTTGGAGATGACATAAAGCTGGGAGGGACAAATGATATACTAGGTGACAGAATCGGGACCTCAGAAGTTTTGAAACAGCTTGGGACAATGGACTGACTCTTCAACATTCTTTCATGTGGCATAGTGGAAAGAGCACTGGATTTGGACTCCAAAGCCTTGGTTTTGAGTTCCAGCTCTGGCGCTTGTCAGCTGCTAGACCTTGGACACATCAATTAGTCTTTCTGAGCCTCAGTTTCTTCAGCTATAAAATGAAGGTACTAGTACTTTCACACCTTACAGGGCTATTGTAAGGCAATAGCTTCATAAATCTTAAAACAAAAGCACTTAGGATACACTTTTGTTTTTTTCAGTACTGAATCAATGATGACATATAATAGTGATAAATGTAAAATCCAGGGTTTGGGTTAAAAAAAGCAAAACAACAACCCCAAAGTAGAGGAGGGGATGGTTATGTGGGGATTAAAATTGTCCAGTCTAAAATAAAAGAAACCGAGGCCAACTCTGAGCCAATGGCACTTTATTAAAGGGTCCATGGTCCCCTCTAATGAAGTGGACCTCAGATTTTCCTCATGATTTCCATGCCCCCTTCTTCCGGAACCTTGTTTTTATAGGGTTTGATACCCAAACATGCAAAAGAGGTATGGTAAAATACAGAATCTCATTTATTGATAGACCTTGCTCTTGTGGGTCAAAAATGACATATTAGCAGAGGGAGTCACAGACTGAGTGAAACACGGGGCATCTCCACTGACTAAATGGTCTTAAGATGGTCACCTGGTGGTGTTGGGCAAGAAAAAATGGTATGGAGGTACAAAAATAAATTGGAGAACTGTCCATGTAATTGAGTTACCTCTGCCACATTGGGCTTGGTCACCTCAACAAGGAAAAACAAGGGTGGAGGGCCTCTAGTTGGCTTGCTATGATTAAGCAAGTGAATTTACAATCTGCAGTTCACAGCCCTAAGGCTTGATATACAGAACAAATAATCACTACCCCCTACAGAATCATATCAAACTAATACTGATTGGAAGAGAGCAGGGGTCCAAATGGATGATTTCTCATAGTTAGACAGCAAACAGTTCATACAATAAAAGATCTGGGGCTTCTGGAAGACTTGCAAATTCAATATGAGTTCACTGTATGAAACTCAAGCGGTCAAAGAAGGTAACTCAATTTTAGGTCCCATTGACACAAACGTGGGCTTCAGAAAGAGAGAGATAACATCTTGCTGTTCTCTTCCCTGGTCAGAACACATCTGGAATATTTTGTTCAGTTCTGGGCATCATACTTTAGGAAGGGCATTGAGACACTGGTGTGAATTCAGGAGATGGTACCCAGGATGGCGAGAGGACTGGATGCCATACAGAAGTCTAGTAAAGGAACTAGGGGTATTTAGTCTGGAGTACACAAGGCTTTGGGGCAGTGGGGTGGCGCAGTGGATAGAGCACCAGGCCTGGAGTCAGGAAGACCTGAGTTCAAATCTGGCCTCAGACACTTATTAGCTGTGTGACCCTGGTCAAGTCACTTCACCCTGTTTGCCTCAGTTTCCTCATATGTCAAATGAGCTGGAGAAGGAAATGGCAAACCACTCCAGTATCTTTGCCAAGAAAACCCCGAATGGGGTCACAAAGAGTCAGACACGATTGATACAACTGAACAATGCACACGATTTTGGGGGAAAAAATGAGAGCTATTCAATTATTTAAAGGGCCATCACATGAAAAAAGGATTAGACTGAAAGCAGAATCAATTGATTAACCCATATTTATTAAACACCTCCCATATTCCAGGCCTGTGCCAGGTTCTGGGGTTACAAAAGTGAGACAGTCTTTGCTCTCAAGGAGTTTACATTCTACCAGGACTATGAGCAAAGGTTGGAAGTTGGAAAGAGGAAAGTTTTGAGCTGATACAAGGAAGATCTTCCCTTGATTCTGTGATTCTAAGGTCCTTTTCAGCTCTGACATTCATTCTTTGATAGCCTCAAAGAGTATCAGAGTTGGAAGGACACCAAGTGCCAGTTGCTGATTCCCTAAGAGTAATCATCCAGTCTTTGCTTTAAGACTTCAGTTTCGGGAGCAGGTAGGTGGTGTAGTGGATAGAGCACCGGCCCTGGAGTTAGGAGGACCTGAGTTCAAATCCAGCCTCAGACACAACACTTTCTAGCTGTGTGACCCTGGGCAAGTCACTTAACCTCAATTGCCTCACCCCCCCCCCAAAAAAAAGACTTCAACATCAAGGAGCCCACTGTAGTCTGAGACAGCCCTTTCTAGCCTGGGATCACGGGACAGCTTATGAAGAGTGCTGGATTTGGAGCTAGAGGATCCAAAGAATCCAAATCTTGCCTCTTTCACCACCTGTGGGAATTTTCTCATCTGGAAAATGAAGCAGTTTTACAAGATGGCCTGAGGTCTTTTCCTGCTCTAAAACTAAGATCCTATTATTAGAAAGTCCTTTCTTGTACTGAACTGAAACCTGTTTCCCTGTAACTTCCCTCCCATTCTTCTTAGTTCTGCCCTTGGCCCGGGGGGGGGGGGGAGGGGAGGGGAGGCGGGCGACAAGTAGAACAATCCTAACTTCTTTCTCCAAGACAATCTTTCAAACACTTGAAGATAGCTATCACTTTCCTCTTAAGTCTTCTCTTGTCTGGATAAAATATCACCAGTTTC